CTCCTCCTCCTTGTCTTCCTCCCATCTTCCCTCCCTCCCTCCTCCCTCTTCGCAAGTTCGACTCCGTCCTGTCGTCGCTCTTTGGCATGCGGTTAGCGTTGCGTATCTTGCGGCCGCACTCGCTCACTCTCACTCTCACTCTCTCACTGTCTCACTGTCTCTCTCATCTCTCTCATCTCTCTCATCTCTTTCTCATCTCTCTCATCTCTCTCTCATCTCTCTCTCCTCTCTCTCTCTCTCTCCTCTCTGTCTCTCGTCTTTCCGTCTCTCTTCTCTCTCTCTTCTCTCGCAGGAGGATCCGGGCAAAGAGCCACATATAAAGGACTCTTCACCCCTGCCTCCAAAAAGAGCGCCGTGTTTTTTCCTACCTCGCTGCCCTCCACTTTCCCATTCTGGAGCGCTAGCTTTCGCCCCCCCCCTTGGCCTCAAGTCTGGTGGATGAACGTCCCCAGTGGTACGCTGCTGTGTTGACTTGTTCCTCTTCCGTGGACACCGGGGGAGCAGCGCCCTAGCAGATCCCGCGCACTGCGCACGAGGTCTCCATCTCCTTGATGAACCTGGTGACCGCGGTTTTGGTGCCTGGGCAAACGAGGTGTTCCCGGGAGGGCGCGGTGTGAGTTCTGCTTCTCAGAGATCGAACCAACTGGACTGACCTTTGCTCACCATCATCATTCCACTGTTACTGGTAGCATTGGATTATAGTGACATGCCATGCCCAACTCCCAACTGCTTTATAGAAGTGCATGATTTCTGTGGATCCCCGCCCCTGTGGCGTGGGAACTTCTACGTAGCTGATCATCGGTGGGTCGGTTCACGAGACCAGCAAGCAGAGGTTGCTAGGGTAGGAAAAGGATGGAAAGGGGGTATACAAGGACACCCTGTGTGGGGGGGCTTCCATTGATAGCCCCTTAGAGGTGATTGGGGTGTCCATCAACCACCCTTGTGGGTCCTGGTGCGGGTGGCAGACAATTCCATTCTGAGCTTTTTCTACCTGCTTGAGGTACGGGCTAAGAAGTCATTTGAGAAACCTGTACCCTGCGCAGCTCATCTCATGTTGTCGGTTTTTCCGCTCTGAACCCCCTCTGCGAGCGGAATGGATGGGCCAAGCGGAGCAGCAGCGCGCCTGAGGTGGAGGGTGCCCTCGAGCACGCGCGACAAGAGAAAGAGACGCTGGGAAAGCAATTTGCGAAGCATCACTCGGGCAGTTCATGAAGTTCGGGCAGTCTTTTGAACAGTGGTCTCGATATTCTTCGGCATTGGTTTTCGATGCGAATCACTGGAGTCTTTGGACGCCCGCTGTGTTTTTTTTTGGCATTTCAATCACATAAGTTCTCAACCCATTCTCTCATACCTGGCAAAGCTCAGCAAGCGACAAAGCACCTCAGGACCTCACCTGGTCCACCTGGTGTCTTGTTGTTTCAACTTGGGCGCGTCGCGTGTGACAAGTGCACATGCAAGGGAAGAGATCCTGATGAGCAACGAGAAGGTCAAACTGATGATTCCACAGCTAAAGCAGCTACTCGGCCTGTGAAATCCGCCGTGTCCGGGGAGCTGACAGCTGCTGGGTCGACGCCGTGGGTCGTTGGAGCCCGACCAGTCAATGCCTGCCATGTCGAAAGACCTGCCAGTAGCTTGACCTGGTCAAAAAGCAAAAGAACTTTTAAGGTGATGTGTTTCCCCTTTGTCCAGGTTCCTTTAGCAAATCCCCCCAAAAAACCTGAGATAGCTTGACTTCAGGTAGTATAGGTCATGCCCAAGGCCTCCCTATAAAGGCGAGGATGGGATGCACGACTTTTCACAGCGATGTAGGTGCGCTCGATAGCTGCGCTACCATCACCAGCGGCGCAACCTGACCCACCCGACCCACCCGTTCGGGCGGACATTGGGGGTGGAATGGCCCGGTAGAAGATGGATGAATAAGTGGGGACATGTGGGGACATGTCGGCACTCGATTTTAGGGGCCATCAGGAAGATTCAGGAAGCCGACCACCCATGCAGAACGATGTTTTCAGGGCTCATGACGCGTGGGAGGTTCTCTCTCTCCCGCCCAGGGAGGTGTCCAGCTCGGTGGGAAGATCCGAAGTCATGTCAGCCCTTCACTTCAGCAGGTAGGACGACAGGACATTCGTATTCGCTCACCGATTCCTATCCCTTCGAGGTTTCGAGGTTTTCCGTGCTGGGAACGGAGCATCCAAGGCTTTTTGAAGACTTGGACAAAGCGGCTTGGCTGAAAGAATAAGATAATGATATGCCACAGTATATCGCATTGAGTTTTATATCGTTGCATGGGGCGTCAGGGCGGGCCCCGAGAACGATTAACTGAAGCATATCATCGAAAGATCACACATCAACGCCGCAAGGGCCGCACAAGCATCAAGATATTTGATGGCACATGATGGCGTATTCCAGCTCTGTGCAGACATGTGAACTCAGCCAGGACAACAGCGGGGATTTGCACCAGGCAGAGTTGGGCGCTCAGTTCTAGAATGTGGTTTCAGAGTAGATGGGACAATCCCCCCAAAGTTGGGGAAATGGACCCCTGTATTAAAGACTGACCTCTTGGGGTGCCAGTGCCAGCTACTCTAGAGACCACCGATTTCCGGAACTTGGCCAAGTTCACGTGGCTTCACCTTTCACCACCTTTCAACGCCGCCTGAGGATTGAACAAGCCGAGAGGGAGGGCCGCGTCGTAGTGCCGGAACACATCTTGGACAAAGCCTCCGTGGGAAGTGCCTCGTCGTCGAACGGAGCGCGCGCTCCGCGCGGAAGCAACACACGGATGACATGCGCGCGTTCCGGGGGGGATGTGCCTTGGGAAATGTGTGAGATGGACTGGAAGTAAGATGGTGGCCATTGCTTTGGACAATGACTGACTGGGAGCCGCATTGGTGCTTGGGCATCCATCCTGACCTGTACCTGAATCTGGCATGAGATCGAGAGGTGTCCGATGTCTTTCGGGCTGCGCTTTGCAAGTGTCACACCTTCATTTTCTGAGTTTTCTTCAGGAAACATGCTCACTCTTGAGCCGGAAGACATGCAGGTATATGTAGCGGTAGCAGTAGAGGTAGCGCATTACAAAAAACGTGTCTTTCATTCTGCAAGGTTAACGTCATCACCTCAAGATCGCCCGACCAAAACCCTCTATCATGGCCAGCGCGAGGCCCGACTCAGGAGGAAGCACAGGTTCCCAGACACGACTAATGGGACTGCCATGGGACTGCCATGGGACTGCCGACATTGGGTTTCCTTTGGCACCACCAAAACTGATGGATGGCCCCATTCCGAAGGTGTCCCGGTGCCGACCCTCTCTTTCTCTCGCTTTCCCTCCGAGACCGAGTCTGGAGGGTCTGGAGGGTCGACCGGGTTGCTCCTGAGCATATCACAAGGCATGACTGAGCTGTTCTTGAATTTGGACGTGGACAAGTCGGGCAAGTTGACGTGTGCCTCGGCGAGGTGGAGACAGGAGACAGGAGGCGAGTCGGTGGGTTTAGGGTTTAGGGTGACGTGGTTTCGCTGAGGACTGATGAATTACATGGTGTCAGGTATTAGGTTGCACTGGCACTCCTCATCTAAATTTGTCAATTGTCTATCAGTAGGTTTGTGCCTTCTACCCAACCGACTGTACTAACTGTACGTAGTTTTGTTCGCAAAACTTGCCAAACCAAAACCCAATGCTTCAAAGGTATGTTTTTTAAAGCGTGCGTTGTCGCAAGAGCGTTGTTTTGCGGAAAAGTGTTTTTGTTGTGTGAAATCCACTTCCTCTCGATGGACCCATGATTGTTCATATATGATGTGTGAGGCCAGGTTCCATGCCTCTTCCACGGCAAAAACAATGGGCGTTCTACGCCAAAACATGTCCCTTCTACGGTTTGTCTACGGCTTGTTTACGGTTCTTGAGCTGGGCTGGAGGCAAGGAATAGCAGGCAAGAAAGTAGTCCTTGTTTTGCTAAAAGCGTGCTTTCCGGGATGGCTATTTGGATCATAGTCGATGAATCGATGAAGCCTAGGGCCTAGGGAAAAGTTTGTTTGATGTCTCGGTCCCTGTGATGTTAGGTGCGTGCCAGGACCCTCAAGAAGTAGTAAAGAAACATCCCGTGAGACCGGGCTGCAATCAAAGAATTCAAAGGTGAAAGGACATGAACAGATTGGCGAGCAGTTCATGTCCTGCAAAGCAGTTCATGTCTTCCCCTCTCAAGGCTGGCGGCCCGTCACTGTTAACATATTTCAACCCCTGGGCTTTCACGGATGACCCCTTTTCGTCCTCCACTTCCCCCCAGGTGCAGAGTTCATCGAGGGCTGCATGCAGCTGGGCATCGCTGGATTCGGATTGGGCGGAGCGGAGGGCAAGTGGATGGATGGTCAACCAGTGCGGGCCCTCAAGCCCCCACCAGCTTAGCTTCAATGCTGCTAGCTAAGCTGGTGAGGGCTGCTAGCTAAGCTGGTGAGGGCTGCTGGAAATCAACAAACTGCTAGGGTGCGCGGCTTGCGGTTTGTTTTTGAACTCTTCAGGAGGGCATTAATTTAGGTTACTATTTAGGTTTTTCTGAGGGGTTTGGGGTCTGGCATTCTTCGATTCAGTGGCTCAGATCACCCAAGAAACTCAGCAGAAGAACATAGATTGCCAGGGTTAGTTCTGGCAGCCATGTAGAGGCATAGACTGAAAAAGCAAAATAATTAACAGAGCATGCATCACTCCCCCAAAGGGAGCTCCTTCGTTCGTGTTCATGAAAGGGATTGGCGGATGTTGTTCGTTGACTCTCCGAAACGCGAAGATGTCGATTTGCCGATTTGCCCCTAGAATCGTGGTACCAGTTGATGTTCCATCCTGACTCCTGACCCTATAGGACCATATGCTTGTTTGTTGAATCATGTTGAATCCTTGAGCCCCAAATCATATGGACCACACATGTCACATGACCAATACCACCGAGGAACATTTTCTTGCTGGACATCCCTGTCCGTGACATGATGATGATGAAGATGATCCGCTTACTCCGCCACGGTGTTCCTGGGAGACCACAGCGTTCTGGTTGGGTTGTGGTCTGGGAAGTTTTCTTTCGAAGATTGGCAGATGACCTTAACTCCGAAGTGTGGGCCCTGCCCTCCTCGGCAATCGTATACTCTCCGCACCACTCCACGGTTTTTTCTATTTTCGATTTAAGATATTTAAGTTAGTGTTGATTTCGCTATATTAGCGGAACATGTTGCAGTAAATTTTGTGGCTTCCTCAGGGTGTCTCACTAACATGACCTCTATAGAAATGAATGACACACTCCAAAACCAGTTCAGTTTTTTTGGTATGTTTTTGGTACTGACCGGGAGTGTAATCATGGAACATTGCCCGAACGCTTGCGAACACTTTTGTTGACTCCTGATAGGTTGCCGTACATGGAGTATTTGGCTTACGGAATAGTGTTTTTTTGTTTTGTTTTTGTGTGTGTGCTTGAATTGATCCAAAGGAGTCTATATGGGCAAACTTCGGATGAACCGTCGATCAGGACCTTGCTTTATCTTGAGGGTCATTCGGTTGGCCAGGAAAGCGTGACCCACAGCTATCCACAGTCTATAGTATATATATATATTATATACTGTATTTATAATTGCAAATAAGTTATATAATTCGGATATATTGGTTACCTAACCTTTCCCTCGCATGAGCGGTTTTTGAACCTGTTCTGGCACTTTGCCACTCCAGGAGGAGCACGCGCACACCTCCAAAAAGTAACATGGGGCTAAGACTATAATAGAGGCACAAGTCACAAGTACGTGTCAATCTGCAAATCTAGTCTCGCGAGTGAATGAACCCTTTTCTCCATCTCTCAGCCAGGGCAGTGCTGGGGTTCCGTTGGAAGGGCCAACGTCCGGGGCATCGGCCTTGGGCACTCTCAAAGGGAGGCGCTGCTGGAGGAAGGTTGCTCCCAAGTTGCCCTCATGGACTGAGGTGATGAAGATCGAAGGTGAGATCAGGGACCTTAAGCGCAGCATGGTACTTGCGAGCAGCGCCAAGTGAGGCGCGCCGATCCTGCGCACCTGGGCTGATCCTGGCCGTCGGTGGTGGGGTAAAAAGCCCTGGTAGCACGGTGCTTGACCTTATCAAACGCACTGTAAGGGCTTGGTGACACCTTACACTGACCTGGGTCCTTTTTTGCTCAAAAGCAGGTGACCAAACACAGGTATAACTATTATGACCCTTGGCTCCGGACTGGAAGGCAGTAAGAATCTTGGAGCTTTGCATCAACCACTTGGACTGGAAGCTTTCCTCACATTAGCAGGGCGATGCTGGGATGGATTAATGCCCTCACATAACCGACATGTGGAACGTAGACCAGAACTAGTTTACAAAAGGTGCGACTTGCTTTGCCTCCAGAATCGTTTTGAGGTATACTACTTGCATTGAGGATTGCAGATAGCCCATAGCATTCATATATCATATCTTCCTCCTTCTTCGGTTTACCGCAGCTTGGCGCTCCGCCAGGGTGTAAAAAAAACCTCCGAGAAGATGCTGATCCGCATCACCTGACGAGTCTTTTTGGATTTTTCAGCACAGGACGCACTTCGGACGCCCGCGGGCAGACGGACATCAGCTTTGGTTTTCCTGATGTTTAAGAGAGCAGCTGGGAGAGTGGCAGCTTGCCGCCGGCAGCTGCCTAAAAAGAGCCGTGATATGCCGTGATTCAAACGTCATGCCGCATCATTGCCTCTGTCTGCCTGCCACACACCAGCACCACGCATTGAATGCCTTCGTTTCCGGTCTAGTACTTCCACCGGCGTTTCACGTATTTTCACACCATATTTCAAGTCCGAGCACCGCCGTGTTGCACACACGGCCATCGGCCGCGAGGCTTAGCCTGAGAAGTCTGCTTGACCAAGGTTGGCCTTGCCACGCATACGTGTCCACGTGTCCGCACACGTAACTCTAGTAGGATACCCTTAAGACAGGTTGATGATTTGGTCCGGGGTATGGGGATGGTCCATTCAAACAAACCATTATATACCATGTTGTACCTAAGGTACATGTAACTATACCAGACATGGAGTGTTTTGGAAAGCACCGCGCCTCGGGGAACCTCATCCGAAAGATTGGAACCATTTCTGGGGGAATTGGGGGCACACCACTCAAATCCAACTAGGTGGCAAAGAAATGACTAAAGCTTCACACCCATTTTTCCAGGGGAACCTGATGAGGTCAGCCTTCAATGAGGTCAGCGTGCACCTCCACGTGTCTACACGCATTCTCGCACGCCTTCTCGCTCCCGTGTGGCTGGCCCGTTGCATCACGGTACCATACGGTACCATCGCTCCAGTGGCTCGGTGGACGCGCGGACGCGTCTTTTTCTCGCGATCCTGATGGATCTCAGATCCTGGAGCCGTCAGGAGCTCCGAGATCTCTTGAGTTTGCAGGTGCCAAAGAGTCTGGCAGCCATGGCCATGAGGTAGACCTAGGACTGTTGGTGGTGATAAGCGCCCCTTTGAACAGGCATGCGTGGTGAACTTCTTTGTATATGGCCGCTAGACCCATGAGAAAAGCACCCCTTCAGACGACCCCTGCCTTTGGACCAGTCAAAGGTTGTAAGACGTTGCACGGCATGTGCTGTGCTGCAGATTCTTCACCTATCCCCATTTCTTTGCTCGGCAGGGCGTGGGCTCATGTGAGGTGCACGGTCGCCTGTTTCCAAGCGACTCGCGCCGTTTCTCACCCAGTCGGGTCGCCATACGGACATGTGAAGGAACATGCTATATTGGCTCCCTAAATAGATAGACACGGTTTAGATATTTAATGTTTTTATAAGTGGGATTTTCATCAGTGGAAGTATCTGATTCTATTGGATTAGTATATCGTTTTCGCTCGTTCTATGCTTTATATAGTGGGGATTTAACTGTTCTCTATAATTTGGGGGGTGTGTATGCCATTTTGCAAGAGCACATAGTCTCGGACAGGGCCAAGCACCGCACCGTGTTTCACCGGCCCCGGAAGGGGCAGGGAACGTACCGCACGAGCATGGGGAAACATGACCATGTGGAACCTGTCTGGTCCTTGGTGATTCTTCGTTCTAGAGGGATGGGTGGGCTTGCGGCTTACGGGACTAAAGATGAAGATTTCGAATCGAAATCCATCGTTAAGCCTGGTTAAGCTGATTTGACGTAGATTTCTGGGACGTTGAGGCATCATGCCCGAAGAGCATGACAAACTTTATCTGTTTTTATTCCACCAAATCGGGACACTTGTCACCCAGTCAGCGGACACGAACCTCAGTCAGCGGAACCGCGGAGTTTCACGGCCGATTCTCCGCGTGGAGGCATGTTTTTGCCGGAGACCCAGCAATAGGAGGAGAGATGACCAAGCGATTCTCCGCCAGGGGAGAGAGGTTGGGCCGGTTTTCGACCACCTGCCCTCCAGATCCTCCGGCCCACGCCAGCGCCGAGCCCAGCTGGACCGGAGCACCGGCCACCAGCGCAGCGTCTCGCCGTCCGTTGGCACCAAAAGGCGGCACGCGCAGCTTCGGCGCAGAGAGGTGGGACGGTGGGACTACTTGGCGTTTCAGACACCGCAGTGCAGGTCAAAGACTAATAAACGCAACACTGGCAGCATATCATGCAAGATGTGCAGTAAAAAACACATGGGGTTTGGTCCGTTGGATGGGCCAGACTTAATTGTTTTTATGATGCATATGAAGAACCATTGGCTTCCTCAAAGTGACTCAACGACTCAAGGGACACATTTCTTTTCACCAAAGCGGCATCTCAAAAAGTCAGGCTCATGCGAGGCATGCATCTTCAGTTGAGCAAACATGGGTTTCAACAACAAGTTTTGTTGTTGCTGTTTTTTTGCTCGGTGCATATTGCATGCCCCCTTTGAAATCATGGAGGAAAGTTCCCTTTTGATTGGATTCTTATGCTTGGTGAATGCCTGATTCATGTGCATCAAATGTGAAAAGAACCCAGCTCAAGCATGTGAAGTAGAAAACCTCGTTGGTCATTCTGTGGTGGCAGTATGAGTTGCTGTCCCTAGTTGGTGGCGGAAGAGCCTCGTGCATCCTGGCGAAACGCGGTAGGATCCGACACCCTATTTTGCACCAGGAAAACGGGATGTCGATGTCAAATCACTCAAAGCTTCCTCTGGATGCTTTGTGGTGTGGGGTGCCTGTTGGTCGACCTTCCATTTGCCTGGATCTTCGAGCTTGCAATGATCGTTCGCAACGAAGCAACTTCCCCCATGTAGGAGGGTTAAGTTCTTGGTCCCATGCGTGCCCCATGGAATGTATTTGGACCATTGAGACAAATCTACATTGTGTGGAGGATGCTTGAAGCTTCGGCTTGAACCTTGCCAGTGACCACCAGAAACATGGAGCTTCAATTGCTGTGTCTCACAACTACATGTTGTGAGCGCGTTTGCGAGCAGAATTGGCAGGAATACAGTTTCAATGTGCGGTAGGATTAGGATTTGATCCACTATTATTTCGATAGCCTTTACCAGAGAACCACTGTTACCTGACAGGGTTGAGTTCAAGAGGACTGCTCCACTCCCCGCCGCTGGACCATGGTTTCCGTGGCACACCCATGGTGGAGGTGCCACATCGCTCGCTAAACGGTGCGTTTCGGGGTGATTTGGAGCCGGGGGTATCCATGGGTAGCGACCCTGGGTGTTCCCGGGACGCCCCCTTGCTTGTGGAAGGTAAGGCAGTTGTCACTGCTCCCTATGACTAGTTCCAGTGTTCTTCTTGCATGTTCGCCCATCCGTTTTCCAACCCTTTTTAAAATAGGGTAGGTGAAGGGATCAGCTATAGTAGCCCATTGCATCCCATTTTAAATATCATCATCCACTGATACTGTACTGGTAATGGGGTATGAATGGATATGATATACCCAATGTATTGAGCTTATTGAGTTGAGTTGGCCTTATAGAAGTTCATCACCAGTTTAGCCGCAGCACCTTTGCGGCAGCGAGCGAGAGAGAGAGAGAGAGAGATAGAGAGACCACAGCTGACTAGAGGAAGGCAAGATAGCGTTCCTAAGTGTTTCTAATGTTATGTTCTGGCCATTTCTGGCCAGTGTTTTTTCGACAATGTCAAGGTGGCAACCTGTGTGAACACTTGGTCCTCCCGCACCGTGACCATGTTTCTGTAGCTTAGGACTTAGCATGCTCACAGGTCGCCTCGAGGCACAGTGGGAACACCATGAGAGGATTGCGATCGCCAGTTAAATACCATTCATTGGCCGCCTAATTCAGGTAGATGAGCTTCTCAAAGAGATTGGAGAGCTGGAAAGCGAGGAGGAGGAAGAGCTTCACTCAGAGGCCTGTGTTAACTGATGTTGACCTGAAATCCCCACGGTCCGAATGGGCTTTTCCAAAGAGTTGGCTCGTTGGTTGGACAACCGCCCGCAGCTCATTTCACCTGCTCTTTTTTAGTGGCGGCCCTTCCAAAACATGGGGCCGGAGGCTATGCATATCCAACAAACCATAACAAACTTCATAGTTTCTTCCGTTTTTTCCGCACATGCTCAGTCTTCATACCTGAGCATCGCCCAGTGTCACCGTCACCGCAGGTGGAGCAACGAGGAGCGGGTCAGCGGTTCCGCCGCGAGTGGCCGCGGGGATATGGGGGTGATATGCGGTCGTAGCCAGACATTTTGGTTGAAGAATCAACAAATCCCACCTGGATGGTGAAACATGGTGAAACAGACGTGTGTTCTTTCTTCCTGTTTTTAAAGGCGGGGTGGAGTTGCAAGAACGGAGGAATTCCTGGGAAGGTTTTGATTTCTGATGACCTGGGGGTTTGGGGTTGGGACAGCACTTCAACCAACTATCAGTTTTTCAGGACACCTGCTGTCACCTAGAGATTCGTGAAGCGCTTCAGAACCAGTAGTTTGGTTCCTCAAATGCCAGATTGATGCCCCTCAAAGACGAAGCTTGTGGTCACATCGTCGATGCTGTTTAACAGAGTCAGAGGCACGTGCTTGGCTCAGTGGTTTCGGTTTGGGTTGGGCTGGTGGATGCCAAAGCAATTGGCAATGGCACCGCCGTACGATGAAGAAACGAGGGGCCCTCAACCTACCATTTTAAGCAACTAGCATGGTACAATTCGGTAGAGTGGTGTATCTATCAATATCTATCACTATCACCATCAAGGAGTAGAATTTTGATCTTGCGAGCTTCCGAACATATACGGTGGTCATCCAATGTCCTACATTCTACCTACATGAAGTCCTACATGACAGCCACATGGTCATACAATGTCATACAATGTCATACCCCAGACACTCCATGTTTGCCATATATGCCTACATAGACCCCCCAAACCACCAGAAAGCATATATGGCATACATGGAGTGTCTGGGTACCACCTGCAGTCCGCGCTCCGTACGGCGATCGTCTTGGCCCTGCTTCTCCCCAAGGAGGCCCTGAAGTGGAATGGCTGGCGCGGTCTGGGGCGTCTCGCGGGGGAGTGACGCGGGTCACTGGTGGGCCTCCGGAGCGCATGGTTCCCTTTTGGAGGTTCATCTACTAGTCAGCAATGCCCTTGTTCCTAGTAATGCCAAGAGCTACTTACTAGTAGCTTGCTTGCTCCTAGTAACTAGATGCCCTTTGTGACTAGTAGTTTGAGCAGAACACGCGTTTGGATCTCGTGGCCGCTGGTCGGCGGGGTCACATGCTTTGAACCGATGCGTTGGCGCCCCCGGGGCGATGCGGAAGGGTTCCAGGCCGAACTTCAGGCCGCGACCGCCCCAACCACATCGAGAACAAAATAACACTACGATATTTCTGGTGTTACATGATTTATGTGAAACATATGATCAGGTATGATATGATACCATATGTTTGAATCATCATCTATGTTGTAAAGGTAGGCCAACTTATAGTAACTGGTTCTGGGAATATTGGTCTATCTTATCTATCTATCTATCTATCTGTCTATCTATCTATCTATCTATCTATCTATCTATCTATCCTCACCATGTCGACACGGCCAGGGCGAGTCGCTCACCGACAGCGAGTCGCTGGGTGCACCCAGAAAGGAGCGGGATGGGAAGGTGCAAAATGGTAAATCACCTAGGGCCTCTTTGACTTCCTATTGCGATATAGGCAGGATGGCATATGGGAGGATAGTTGATTCATCCCTTTCCTTCAACACAAGTCTGGTCATTCGGGTCTGCAATTGCAACTAGGAGCTTGAGATGCTGCTAGCAATTCTGGTACGGGTGTGGACCTAAAGAGCTGATGGCATTTAAGATCATTTCATCTGACCACAGATTTGGTCAACCACTATTCCTGGACAACCATGAGGACACCCCAACCTCGCACGGGCGTCGACATACTGGCTGAACAGTTCATCTTGGACAGGCCACAGAACCGTTTGCCCTGCAGATCGGCTGACAGCACAGGTTTGGACCGACTGCCGGGAGTTTTTGGGGGGATCCCATCAGATTCAAGGACTGTTATAGACTAACCCAGGCACTTCATGCATGGTATTTATGCCTGCATGGAACCGCTGGAACTGCCCTCATGTAGGTATGTTTGCCATACTTGGAATATGAGCGTATGGGCTGGAATTCATGGATTCCAAATGTCTCCTGTTACTGGAAGTCTTCCATTTCCGAAAAGGGAGAGGTTTGCTGCGGAATACCATCCACAAGTCAAAGCCCCAGCAGGCGAGAGCCTTATATAGTTCAGCTGGCTCATGTAGACGCTAGACTCTTGATTGAATTTCAGCTCCGCAGATGGGTTCGCAATCCAAATGGGGGAGGGGGGGTCCATGAATCAAGAGTCTACATTAAACTACATTAAAGGGGCTGCTTGGTGACCCGTCATCACTGCCGAGGTCGGAGCTCGAGGAGAGGGAGATGAGATGATCAAATCAGCTCTCAGAGGGTCGCAGCTCTTTCATCAGCTCTCCAAAGATCTCCAAAGCATAAGAACTGATACCAGCAGTCACAAAGGGGTGCTTATTGGAGGTAGTCGGGGTGTCTATGATCCACTCACTCTGGATGGGACGAGCCACACCACCCCGAGCTCTGCGACTCCTGTTTTTTTTAGGTTTTCCATGGTTTTTCGGTGGCCCAGTTCCTGGTGTCCAAGATCCACGAGTAGAGAAGTGCCCAGTTGGTTGGGGTGAGCAAATGTTGCTTTTTTTGGCGGATGGCAGCCAGGCGCTGGGGAGAATCAACGAGACTCTTGGGTCCAAATTGGAGTCATCTTGAGAATCCCAGATCAAGCATTTTTTGCAAGGTCGTTGAGTGAGACCAGGTTCACCACTCCAAAGTAGCACAGAAATATATAGAACGTACTTGTTGGTTGCGGAATGAGATGTCGTGGGCCTGCAACTGAGGTTGGTGAGTTCGGGCGATTTCATGAGCAAAAACAACGGCTCATCTTCTTGAACCAATCTTGAACTATGCAAAGCTGCCCCGAATCCCACGGCGAAATGTGGCTTTCAAGCAGGCGACAACATGGAATACGAACACATCAATTTTGGACTTCCCGAGGTGAAACTGACCAAACTTTGCCCTAGATGCCCCCCAGTATGCCCCCCAAAGAATTTGTAGCTTTATGGTGCCCCGATGGTGCGCAACTCCAAGCTGCACTCCCCTTGTTTTGCTTAAGGTGAATATGTGTCTTTAAATGTGGATTATGGATGAATCCCCTTCTGGGGATGATATGTTTTCTCTCTTCCAGTTCCTGAAAGAAGCAGATCCAAGCCTTCGAAAGTAAGGCTTTATGTTTCTTGCACTGCCAGGAGCCGGCAGCAAAGACTGCCGATTTGAAGGATTTTCGAGCGGAGGTCACTGACCTGAGGGCTGAGGCGGCGAGTGCGAAGGCTAAAGAGGTGGAACGCCGGAGCTTGGAGGCACCTGCTGAAGGAGAGGGATTGCAGAAGTATAGGAAGGTTCAGAGTACATGGCTGATGATGAGTACATGGTTTACCCCCAAAGATCTCTTATTTTAGATGGGGGTCCATATAAACTACCTTTTGGGGATTGTGTCATCTATCTATTCTATAATGACATCATCAAACAAGCATGACAGTGGATGATGCCCCTAAAAGGAAGAGACTGTTATGCTCTGAACAATGGACTTCCGTGATTGGTGGCGGGAGGATAATATGATTTGAGGATTATCGTTCCCGCAGACTGCCACAAGGTGAGGTAGCAATGGATTCTTTCTTGAATCCTGGGTCCTGGCAGAGGACCCAGCTCACTGTCATCGTCATCGCTCCCCATATTGTCAGACGATGAGGCTGGCCAGTGGGATGGGTTGGTCGGCCACAGGTTGCCAGGCCAATGCCTTCCCAGCCTTAGCATTGATTTGCTCCATAGATTTCAGGTCCACATGTTGATGGACGTGACGTGGGTTCAGTTTACGATGCAGGTTCTTTGGTGACTTAGTTGCATGCCTCCCCCCCAAGAGCTATGGTGACAGTGCTGCGCGCGACAAAGGAGTTGTTGAACACCGCGTGTCAGAAACAAATGAGGCTACGGCCACCTTTGCCCTCCAACACCTGCATTTTTTTTAATGCTTCTGATTGCACTTATCACGAAAGCTAGCATCAGCTAGCTGGAGTTGCTCTTGCTTTAGCAAGTCAAGGGCTCGCAGCCTCGAGAATCATGAATCACGTGAAAACTTCACGTGTAGGGGGGGGCCCCCCCCCCCTCCCCCCCCCTGAAAAGTAGAGCCTACCTGTACAGGGTTCCACTCCAACAGCTGATATAGTGTGTCCATGCTTGACTGCTTCAAGGCTCAAAGAGCAAGAGGATAAGACTCTGCGCATAAAAGACACTAGCGGTCTGCACCTCTACCGTGTACGCCCTAGTCACTCTTTCAGTGGTAGCGGAGCAGTGATCCTGGAAGACCCAGGTGAGCTCCTTTCCTAGGCATAGAATTGCTTGTGGGCAAACGGCCATGGATTGGATTGACGACTGGGAAGAGCCTGATGCGGATGTGGCTTATGAGCCAGCAGCCTACGTGAATAGGCATGTGAGAAGAGAACCAGCAGCAATAGCAATGACAACACAGGTCACTACAAAGGTGCCCCCATCTTATGATGGAAAGACTTCATGGTTTTCCTATGAGGATGCCATAGACGATTGGTGTGATATCACCGAGCTGGAAGATGAGAAGAGAGGACCAGCTTTGAGAAACAGATTAGAAGGAGAAGCAGCAGTATACAAACGTGTATTAGACAGAGATTCATTGAAGGCTAATGAGCCACCAGGAGCAGGAGTAGATTACTTCAAACGAGTACTACGACCATATTTCGTGAAAGGATCAACCAATGTATTCCTATACAGGTTTATGCAATTCGTGCGATTCAATCGAGGATCAGCTGACATGATGAAATGGATGACAAGATTCCAGATTTTACTCCAAAGGCTTATGAGCAGTTGGATGGACATGTTAGAACCAGTCACTCAAGCACATCCCCAAGTCCTTGCTCAGATGCAGGCAGATGCAGCGTTGACTGGAGTAGCACCAACGGCAGAAAGGATTCAGGAAATCATGCAGAATGTCAATGGCAATATGAGAATTCTTCATCAGAATGATTTTCCTTTAGGAGAGAATCTCATTGCCCTACTCATGCTGTCACTTGCAGATTTGTCTCAGGACCAGCGAAACACTTTGACTT